CAGACAAAGCTTGTACTACTCAAAGAACAGAGCAGGAAACAACAGAACACATATCTTTTTTTTGTCTTTTGAAGTAAAGTAGATGGCTAGAAGACAGTATTGTCGTTGTCGTCGAATGTTCTTGATTTTAGCTCTTCTTTCTCTCTACTTATCCTTGAAGCCTTTCCTAATCACTGCAACAAGTCTGTAATACTTCTCTTACTCTCAGTCTCTCTTACTTTCTAAAGATTCTTCTTCTTGTTATGTTTTCTTTCTTGTTTTAATTTCTTGTTTATTTCAGGAACTGAGACATCAACAGAGTTTGAAGAAACCAAGGGACAAGAATTGAATAAGATCGTCCACCTGGTAAGAATCCATTCCACACACATACAATGTGAAGCATAGATAAAAACTGTTATGTATTTTGATTCGTGTTCTTGATTTTCTTGCTTTATGTTTCCATAGAGACGCATTGAATCTGCTCCTAAGAGAAGAACGAGGACAAGGAGGATGGTGAAAGTTGAGGAGATTAACGATTACCCAGGATCAGGTGCTAACAATCGCCACACTCCTAGACCTTCCTGTCCTGATTGCTAAATTCCGATTTCTTGTGATTATAGCTTCTATAAAAATTGTAATAATCACTTTATATGATGATATATGTATCAAGATATTAAGACTTGTATGAAATTTTAATCATGGAATCTTAATCTAAAGGCTATGTGAAGATATCAAATATATTTGTTAAGTAAGACTCAAAAACTTTATGTACCCCATGTCTAAAAAGGTGTTTATAGTTTTTAAAATAAAAGATCCCACAATTAACTTTTGCTCAGGTTAGGTCATCCACTAGAACAAATAAGGGGTTTTCTGGTTTCCTTTTTAAATATGTTATGTTTTGTTTTGATAATCCACATAAATTTCGGGTCGAATTTATAATATTTTTCGGTGTACGGATTTCACCGTTGATGCTGTTTTAGACGTAAATCACTTATTCCAAATAGATTTAAACTTGTGATTTTGAGCACACTAAAAAACCACTAGACCAAGACTACTTGTTAATTATCTTTAATTTACAATCTTCTCTACATTAAATTATTGTTATTTTCATTTTATTTGGTGAAGAGACACTGAGAGAGTGGAAGACACAACTACCACCTCAGACATGATGATATATATCTTCACTATTATTTTATAAGACAACTTCTTGAATTAACAGATACAGAATGACAAAAATACAAAGTAAATAAAAAACATTATTTTACCAAACAAAAAAGAAATAAGATAATTAAAAACGAAAGACAAAACGAGACTCTCCACAACATGATCAAACAATATACATAAAACCATTAGTTTAAGACATTATTGTATCAGATCAGTTATTGTCGGAAGAAGGAGAAATATCCGGTGCCGGCGCCGGAGAAGGAGCTTCGGAGGTACCGTCATCGGCACGCATGAAATCAAACCTTTTGATGAGAATATTAGCAACGAGCTCGTTAGCTTTATCGGTGGGATGATACTCATCCCAAAACACATATTTACTTCTGTCTTTACACAATGTCGACGCCGGAATACACGTCAGCGCCGGCCGGATTCTGTAGAACGAGCAACACGGTGAATCCGAGTTGTCAAACCCTGTAAATTATAGTGTATATTGCATACACACACAAAAATTAATTAATCCGATGATTATAGAGATAAAAGTAACAACTTAATACTAAACCAAACGATTTGTAGCCAACCAGTAGAAATGTAGAACAAATTGCCGTCTTAGCTCAGTGGTAGAGCGCGTGACTTTTAATCCCGTGGTCAAGGGTTCGATCCCCTTAGACGGCGTTATAATCAGTTTTTACAGTTTTTGTATTTTTATGACCAAGATATTTTACATTTTTAGAATCATTTGACTCGTTAAAATAAGCAAAAAGGTTTATTTAAAATCACAAACTATTTAGTTATTTTCATTAAAGTACATACAAAATTTCAGTTTTTTTTTTCCCAATAATACACTAATTCATATATTTCGTTATGATACACACAATTCTTTTTTTCGTTTCGAAAGATGTTTGTGTTTTATGATGGGGATAAAATATGAAATTATGTATTATTTAAAAAAACCAAAAATTCGTATATTTTATGAAAACAACTAAAGAGTTGGTGATTTATGGACTTGTTTTTTTCTTCTTGAGATTATGGTTGATGATTTATTTGGTTATATACATACCGTATTTTTGAGGGTTAGTGATGACATCGTTGACAAGGTCATAGGCTTCACCAAACTTGTAGCTTGCATTAGGGAGCTTGGTTTCAAGATCTGCGAGCATTGTGGTTGCAGCTTTGTTGAATTTCACCGCAAGATTACTCGCTTTGTTTTGACATTTACCGTCGAGACTTAATGCTCTTTGTAGTGGAATACAACCCATTGGTCCTAACCCAAACACCATTAGCTTTCTTGCTCCTAAACTATGCAACGCCTATAATCAAACGTTACATCACAAAGAATATGTGATTGATTTATTAAAATAAACTTAAGTATGTAATTTGAAGTGTTTTTTTTAGACTACTTACCCTGAGTTGAGAATCAAGTGTTTCCATTAAGTATTCGACGAATGTTTGATCATTGTACTTCCAAGAATCGCTATAAACAGGCATCAAGTAGTTGTTAATGAAATCATTGCTGCCTAAAGCGACCACGTATCGAGCTTGTTGGAAGAATTTTTCTGCTTCTTTTTGCCCTATCTTTGCTACAATCACATCTTTTGTCCCTTGGAATAGTTCTATTTGCTTCCACAGCGAAAATCTTTGGATCTTCACAAATACAAAGAGAGAGAGAGAGAAAAAAAAACCATTTTGAGTACTATTCATTTATATTTTGTGGAACAAAAAATGATTATTTCATGAGACTTACGAAATAACCTCCAGTTTCATTCAAGATTCCACCACCTCCTGAAGCATAGTTCACTCCATTTTCAAGTATTACATCTTCATTCATTGATGGATCCAAGAAAGCTACTGGTCTTGGCAATCCAATTTTATCACCTTCAAATTTTAGGTTAAAGAAAACATTACAAAATTGTATAACAAGTAATTCACTTAAGATTAGTTCATAATTTCATACACATGTCTTACCTATAATGTCTGAAACAGTACGACCATTAGTGAACCTTCCATTAGGCAAACCATTGCCAAAATCAATACCGTAAAAGGGTAGATTCGCCTGCGCTAAACTCCTCGGTAGGTTCCTATTGTTGCCTACATCAGACAATGAATCACCGAATATAAACTGGACGATCTTGCAATCGTAGCCGTTGATTGCGTCGAGTCCAAGAACTACGAACAACGCGAATACCGTGCAGAACTTCATGTCGGGTAATCGAAAATGTTTGTGTGATTGGAAAATGATTTGTGTTGGGGTGGTTTTAAAAGGGTTTTAGAGGAGAAAAATTAAGAAATGTGGAAGACTAATGTGAGAATATTGAGGTGACGGTAGATTTTGAGTTGATGAACCAACTGATTCCT